AAAACAAAAAAACAAAAAAACCATAATTAAGCAAATTTTTTTACCCCCAAATTCTCATTGCCATAATGCTAAATATATTATTTATCATAGATATATAAAAGAGATAGAGATACTAGATTATAGATTAAGGTCAAAGAGATATTATATATAAAAATATTAAAAAGTAATATGGATGTGTAAAAAATATATAAATTGTAGCTATATAAAAAGTAATAAAATTACATTTTGTTTAAAAAAAGGCAGTACAGCAGCCTTTTTAAAATAAAAAGTCATTTTATTAGATTAGTGTTTACTGTGTTAAATGAATGAGAATCACCAGTGAGAATAAAAATTATTTTTAAAAATGCTGTCATTTGTGCTAAAGGAGCCCCGACCAAGTATTGAGTGCATAAATGAACGTACTTTAAAAGAACTTGAACTTTTCTGTTTTGCAAATCCTTTTTTTGATTGATCTTAGGAAATATTCTAATATTTTTGAGATACTGGATTTTTGACTTTCATTAGCTGTAAACTCTAATCGTCAAAATTAAAACAAACAAAAAAATTGAAATGTTTTACTTTACATGTACTGAATCTAGAATATATGAAAGTTTCACTTTTTGAAATAAGTTACACAAAAAAAAGAACTTTTTCATGATATTCTTATTTTTGAGATTCACCTGTATATATAAATACTGTACACACACACACACACACACATATATATATATATATACATATGGTCTGACTAACTAATGATTCAGGATGCTGGTGAATTCAGATGGTTTCTTCAGCAGGTTTGTGGCTGTAGGAAAGTCTTCAGGTGTGGGTGAGAGACGCAGTCAGTCGTGAGCGGCCCGTATGGCACAGATTCCCAGAATGCCATCTGTGATCTCAGCGTCAGTCTCTCTGTCCTCATGAACGCTGCTGGAGTTACAACTGTGATCAAACAAAATGGCATAATGCGCTTTCTGGAATAATCTGATTTTCAGATGTGTTTCCTGCGCATTCACATCATTGCTGTTGAGTAGTGTTCACACACGTCCTTCACAGACAGGACTTAGAATTAGGAAGATTTGATGTAACAGACACTAGATTGTGTGTTATTTACTTTCCAGAATTGACTTTTTCCATAGCTTGGGAGACTTTATGGAGTTTTCACTTGAGGATCAACTTTGTCTCAGACGTTTCTCCTAAAATTCATTATGAGTCACTAGTTATCATCTGGAAAGGGTTAAGAGCTATAAAATAAAGTGCAGCTCAGATCGTTTGACTTCATATTGAGATTTATTCTGAAACTCTGGACTTTTTGAGCAAATCCTTATTTGTTCTGCATTGATTCTCGTTGCTTTGTAAGAGGAGAAACAGTTGAAATATTAAGGATATCTTTTAAACAAATATATACTGAGATAAAAGTACAAATGTAGTCTCAGTCTGTAAATCTCACATGCTGCATGTCTGTATGCGTCAGTGTTATATTACATCACTGAGATACTATTATTATATACTATATATATATATATATATATATATATATACTAGTGCTGTCAAATGATTAATCGGGATTAATCGCATCCCAAATAAAAGTTTTTGTATGTATTTGTTAAATGTGAGCCAAAATCATCACAATTAAAAGAACCAAAGACTTAAACTACTTCAGTCTGTGTGCATTGAATTTATTTAATA